CATGACGATTCATGTCATCTGGATTACGCATAGCTTCTCTGCAATTTACGCTTCGTATATTATAAGCGAAGCTTGGACCCCCCCCCCCCCCCGATACATTTTTTCTGGACCTGCCACTGTGTATGACGTGTATTCTTCAAATTAGGTGAAAGAAGTAATTACTAGAGGCTGGTGCACGTAATTTGATTTGCTTTCTTCGTAAGTCTTTCTGTGGCTGTATATCGCACACATTCGATCAGGTCCAAAAAACTGTGAGCACTGTGATTGTGTCATGGTAACACAAGAGACTATGGTAGACTGTAATACGTCGTTTATTTCGGAAGACAAGTCTGGCATCAAAGTACAATTAGAACAATCCACACTAAACATGCACTAAAACACCCTTTATATAGGGTTAATAGGATTACACCGCGGATTATAAAATTGGGGGGAAACACTATGATTGGTGTGTCATGTGAGAAGGTCACTATAGAATAAACATTTCGGCTTAATCCGCTACAAAGTTGCGACTTCTCTTGCGTTCGCTGTGATAAAGGCATGTTTGTGAACATTACGTAAATGGCTTACAATAAATTGATTTGTGCTTCTTTGTCATAGGAATACATGTATTGTGAGGTGAAATGAAGCATGAAACGGCTTCTAACAGACATAACTCAGAGAATAATGCTTGGAATCGAATGAAACGAAAACGAATAAATACAGAAAATGATTGCCTATCGATACAAACTAAATACGAATGAAAAATAATAACTATAATTAAACAACAACAAATATAATTGAATCGAGAAACACACACGTGGATAAGCATCCACGATACTTTTAGTCTTTTTATGAATCAAGACGATTATAATTAAGAACTTATTAACAATTTGCTATGCTGTTTTCTAGCTGTAAGTGTGATATCATTCCTTGTTACATGCAATTTGTGTACCTCAATAGTGAAAACCATCTTCTATATGCGCATGGGCACATTATTCTATCTCGTGAATAAATACCACAATAATATCAACTTATCTTATGAAAAATGTCTGCTTGACTGTATCATCATGTTAGATATTTACACGTTTGATCTCAAAACATGTCTGCTGTTGGCCAGATTGTGGAAAATGTTAAAAGCAGTACAAATGGGCTTTTTGGATTGTAAAATACATAAGTACGACATTTGACTTAGAAACAACCAATCACACAGAATAATTTATCAACGTTTCAGCTAATTCCTGTCCCAAAAGTGTATCAGCCGTTTTTATGTCCCAACTGATAGCTCGTTAAAGAGCTGAGGCATTAAAAATACAAATATACTAAACGTAACTCCAGTTGAGACAAAGCACATATACAAGACTGTTAAAGTTGGGTAGCCAGTGAGGCATATTCTTGTAGGTAGCTTCGCATTTACTATTGACATTGACCATGGAACTAATTTTAGCTCCGTGCATTGACCGAATTAACGATTGTCAAACACTGCTGCATGGTCGTAGATAAAATGTGAAAATATTTACGTATTACCAGTGTACCCTTGGTATTATACATAGAAGTTCTGTATAATTCTGCAGCGTTGTGTTTTTGTTTCGTGCACGTTCAAGACCGACAACATACATTTCGACTACAGAATATACTGAAGCAGCAAAGGTTACATAGAAAGATTCCGTTGTACATACTTTACAAAGAAATTAATTGTATTGTCTCCATTGATGTACTGTGAGTACGTTCATGTGAATAAAAGGATGGGATACAATAGCCGTACAGTTAACATTGTCGGAAAAATGGGACCACATTGTAAAAGAATATGTCAAAATGTTCCACACGCACGGACATGTAAAAGTAATTCCACACCGGTGGCAAGTTCAAAACTTAGTTCGCTTATTTTTAACTTTGACTTTTATGCTACA